TTTTTTTTTCCACCCCCCCCCCCCCCCCCCCCCCCCCCCCCCCCAACCACCACCACTTTTTACAAATAAGGGCAACTACTTGTGTAATGGGTGGTTTATTCTTATAGAACTCTTTAAGGTTGCCAGGGCACTGGGGTGCACAGATAAATATATAGATGTCTGTTTTTACTGCCCACATTTCAAATCCACTTTCATTCTTTGCTCTCTGAATGTTATCTTTGATCAGATGTAGCGATGTGATTGCTACTTTTAATTTGCAATGAATTATCAATGTCAATTAATGCACAGTAAAGGCCCATAGCACCTACATACTAGTACAGCTATCAGCTGCTAATGTTAGCGATTAATGTTCTAGAGTATGCTATGCTGAAGTAGCAGAACTGGAGCTGATTAGAGTGCTTGGTGCATCAGCTCCCAGTACCCCACCACCTGATTTCTGCATAAAACACAATGGCACATTCATGATTACCATGCAAGACCAATCGTTGCTTAATCAACATCGTTCTTGTGGACCTAATTTAATAGTTTAACACTATTTATTTCTTTTGATGCGTGTCTACTGTCCTATCTGCCAGTGGGTTTATGAAACAGCAATTCCATTTCAATCCAGTCAGTCAACATTTAAAAAATGCATAATTAGCCAGCCAGTGCTCTATGCGTGCTAATGTTGGATTAGCAGCACAGTCAGCTGATGGATTACAATAGTAAAATTCAAATAACTTTTACAAGAATAAAGATTGATATTCATACATTACAGCAATTGGTGCAAACCATTGAGTTTTCTGATTCTTAGTCCAAAGCAGACGTGAGTTGAGGGATGTATCATTTAAACCATTGATGTGTCCATAGTTTTAAACCTGAATTTTCTAACCTAGCCAAGTAGGAATGCTTTTTGTAATTTTCTTTATGGCAATCGTTTTCAAAATGATACATTTTTCTCCCTGCAAATATCCCCGCCACCTCTAATTTCCAGGTACTGAGGCATTGTATCATGTTTTTAAATAAATCACTGGCAATGACAGAAGATCAGTAGAAAATTTTAATATAGTGTCAGTTAACCTTTTCAATGCTAAATGTCCTTCACAATGTGCAATTGACATACTGCAGCTGGAATCTGCCAACAATAAAACAAAGTACTTATAATGGTGAAAAGTAGAAGGCAGGGTTTGAGAAACAGCCAACATTACGTAATGTTTTATAAATCATTGCCTTGACAAATGCATTCTATTCTTGGAGAAGTTGTGAAAGGGTTACTGCTTCATATTACGCCCAGATTCTCCCCCTCCCTTTTCCCTTACTTTGGGTTTACTGCAGATATTTTCAGAATCCTGTGTCAGCAGTGGTTTCTGAAGAAGTTCCATACTGCCTTTCAGATCAACTAATGCTCCTACCTGTTCCTCCCATATATATATACACTGCACCGCACACACACATACACCACGCGCGCATACACAATCTAAAAGCAAGATTGTGTCTTACAGTAATTAGCAGACTCATCTGCACTTCCACCATTTTATAGAATTCACAGTAACACTGGATGCAGAAGTGTGTGTTTGTACAGATACATAGGGTTGTCTTGTAGTGGAACGAACCCTCGCTGGTTTCACCGGGATGCAAAGGTTGTCTGGCGATTTTTTTCTTCCATTATAAATTAAATCAACTCTTCTCAAAAAAAATCCCTTTTTTATTGCCTTTTTAACATTTGGCACAGTACAAATTGGTGCTTTTACAAGATAAACCTGTAAAGTCTGGTATTGGGCTTAGAAAGAATTTCTGTATAAATGTGTTTTACTGCATCCTCATAGCATTGGCTTTAAAAATTACAGAATGCCCTTTTAAATTGGTTCGGCCCCATTTCTTTTCCCCAAGTCATGAAAGCATCTTGCTTAGTCTCTTCTTAAACATAAGTTACAGGTTAGAAAATAGTTTATTTTTATATATATATATATATAATCACTTTTTTAAATCAGCCATGGTTGCTTTGATATAAGCATATACAAGAAAACAGTCTGAGTTTTGCACTTTTTACAAAATTCTGACAACTTGTGCATTCTACTGCATTATATATATATTATATATATATATATGTACAGAAGTCAGATCTGAGTCTCCTGAACTTTCTCCTTGGTATGTGTTTGTATAATAAAGGGTTCAGGTATTGTAGTGTGGAGCGAGTTACTCAGGCTGTTCTCTGTCCAGTGAGCCCCGTGTGCTGGTTTGTACGTGTTATAGTTCATGTGGTCGTGAACTGAGGGCACTACGACTGCTCCTTCTGATGGTGTGATGTCCTCGCCCACATTAATGATCTCTATAGTCCTGGCTGCCGCCACCGTGCTCCGTTGTTGATGCCGTTTGCGAAGTTTGTAAAACACTATAAGCATGGCAGCTGCCAGCAGCGTCACCGCCACGAAACAGCCGATGATGATTTTCGTGGTTTTCATAACCTCGTCTAGGCTGGTGCGGGTCGTGTCCATGGTGGCCAACGTGGGGATCACTGGCACTGTTTTTGGATTTCTTGCACTCTGTAACAGCACTGTGGGAGTGGAGATGAATGCTGGCTTGTAAGTGGGTGGGGTCGACAGAAACGGTGGTACTTTAGTCCTAACGGTGTCGGGTGTCGTTTCCACGGTAACTGTTGAAAAGTAGGTGTAATTTGATGTGTTGATCTCTGCCATGCTTACTCTCAGGAAGGCTGATGCATCAGCATTTCCTTCCACATTAGTGACCATACATTTGTAGGTACCAGCATCTGTTATTAAGACATGCAAGAAGTATAGGGTTCCATTGTTAAATACTGATATACGCGGATGTGTCGATCCATGACTCAATACCGTGTTGTTCGGCAATAACCACCTGACGGATGACATGGAAGATGTTCGACATTTCAATTTGGCTGTTCTCCCTTCGGAGATGTTTAGGTTTTGTGGCGGTTCCACAATGACTGGTCTTGAGCACTGTAAAGTGGCCTTGTCTACTTCGGTCAAGTATTTCCCCCTCATGTGAGGTGGGGAATGGCACCGGCCACAGCAAGTAGAGTTTGTGGGGATGTACTCCCTCAGCCACCAGGCAAGCCAGAGGATATCGCAGTCACAATTCCATGGATTATGATGTAGGTGCAACTCCACAAGGTACTTCAGTGGTGCAAACAGATCATGTGGCAGCGAAGTAAGGTTGTTATGGGCCAGATTTAGCTCCACCAATGCAGTGAGGTCATCAAAAGCATTTCGTTCAATCAGATTTACTTGCGAGTTCATAAGCCAGAGCTTTTTTAGTGATTTTAGCCCCTGAAATGATCCTGGTTTAATTGCTGGGAAGTGGTTGCTAGACATTTCCAATTCCTCCAGCCTCACCAGTGGTGAGAGATTAGGCATATCCCTCAGATTACACATCCCTAGGTTAAGGTATTTTAAGTTAATTAAGCCCTCAAAAGCACCATCCAGGATGTACTCTAATTTTCTAAGCTCTCCCAAATCCAGACGCAGCAGTGATGGCACCCTGTTAAAAGCGTATGATGGAATGCTTTCAATGGGGTTGTTCCTGAGCCACAATTCACGCAGCTTTGAAAAGGACTCAAATGCGCCACTTGGTATCACAGTCAGCCTGTTCTCAAACAACTCCAGTGTGTTCAGGCTCGTCAATCCATTAAATGCACCAACCTCTATTTGCCGGATGGAATTCCGGCCGAGTTGCAAGACCTCCATGTGGTACAGGTGTCGGAATGTGTCTGCCTTAATGAGCTGGATATTGTTCTCCATAAGGTTGAGGTACCGGGTATTAGAAGGGATCCCTTGAGGGACCTCTTTGAGACCACGGCGAGTGCAGACGACTTTGCTGAAGTGATTACTGCAGGAGCAGATAACTGGGCAACTCTGTTCTCTGTTTGACGCTTCGCACACACTCCACATCCGTACCGTGAGGTAGACGAGAAGAACCAGGGCAGCATTCCAGGTGTGATGCACAGTTACCTGCCACAAGAGATTCATGATGTGGCACATTCATAATTCACCATAGTCTGGGTTCGGCACTGATTTGAAAATCGGCTCTACCCCGGCACAGCAGGCAACCAGTGCCTTTAGCCATCGACAATGAGAGAGGGAGGGGTACGGGGTGGGGGAAGAGAAAGATGCAATGAGGACGGCCTGTCACACCTACCTCTACAAGAGTGCAGTTCCTTTTTTTTCTTGCACTAGATACTAGTGCTATTTTTCCTTCATCATCCTTAAATAAAAAAAAAAATCACAAAATGGCTCCTAGTAAATCCAAACAGTAGAAAGGACCAACAGAGGTGAGGCCCAATCGGCTATGCAGGTGCATGCATCCTCTCTACCCCAGAGAGTAGCGCCATCAACAGTCGTGGTGTTTGTCCTCTGAGTTGAGAAAGCTGTTGAGCAAGCTCCATCGCTCGTGTAGAATCCAGGCAATGCGAATTATGTAGATTTTTTTTGTTGTTTATTCCCCACCTTTTTGCTGCTGCAGTCGATCTTTCTTTCTCAGTGTATCCACGCTCTCTAGTCTGTTTCACTCTCTGCCAAGATCGGCTGATTTAAAATCAGCTATGAACAGCACATTGCAGTCAGTAGCTTAACTAGCCAGTTCTCCACCAGTAGACGCAGCAGCTGCAGGCTGCCTCCCGCACAGTTAGCAATAATCCGTTGATTGCTCCAAGGGGAGGGGGGGAAGGATTGGAGAAGGAGAGATTGCCGGAGAGCGCTCTCTTTCTCTCACTGATGAGATGGAAAGCTTCAGTGATGAGCTTTTTATTTTGGCAGAATCAGCATCACAACAGAAGGAAATAAAGCTCTCTTCTCTTCCCTGTATTTCATAGGGTATCCTTTTTTGTTTTGAGGTAGTGAATTGTGGCAGCTTTTCTTTTTAGCCTTTTGTCCTGTTAATAAGGTCTTTGTTGGCTAGTGACTGCAACAGCTGCAACAGGAACCTCTGTCCGCCGGAACGTTTTCTTTCTTTCTTCGGTCATTCTCGCTTCTCCCTCTAACAGTGTTGCAGACAGCCACACAGGCTGCGCTCTCATCCCTTTGTCCTTCACTCTGAACGTGAATGTATTGCTGACGCATGTCGTAATAAGCAGTACATTGGTGTGATGCAGTTGTATGTATTGACAAACCCCCGCGTCCCTGACCTCCCCAACCCACTCCACTCTCTTCTCTAGGGATTAATTATAAAAGCCTCCAGGAATGCTTCCTTGGTTTAGTGGCAGATTTTTAAGAGCGCATTTAAACTCTGGTAGGTTCTCTCCCTATAGCTTCACCTGTTTTAGTTTCTTCAGAGTGCCCTTGATGTGGCAGCCTACACTTTGAAGTAACCAGATATGTAGCAGTGATTTAAGCCAGTTTACTGTCCTGTGATTCCGTTGGGATAAATATGAATTGATATTTCGGCTGCTGGAGGCCGGCAGGATGCAATTGGTCAGCTGGCTGCAAGTGTTACGTCATTCCTGTAGTGCTGAGTTGGCTGCCCTGACGGCAAGGCTGTCTGTTGGGAGTTCAGAGAAATATTCTGCCTGCATCAATGGAGAAGGGGAAAGAACCAAATTGGAACCCTTAATTCTGACCGATTTAAACACAATTCAAATACAAACTAATCCTTCAAATTTTTAATGTTCCTCTCTTTACCTTTTCGTTTTCTTGCCTAAATGGAAGATCAGACTACTTGCTACAGCCATTAGTCTTGTGTGATTTTAAATATTGCGTTACGATCATATAGTTGTGGATCAGCTATTCCATACCGCATCTTTTTTTCTACTGAATCCTACTGTAGTGACCGATCTGTTTGTACTTCTATTTGTGCACGTTGAACTGAGGATGCGATTTTTGATGATTGGCGACTCCACATCCTACGTAGAATGAGATTTAATTATTTTTTGAAGGAGATTGAAAGAGCCATTTAGAAGACTTCCCTCACTAGAGGACTGAGCACTTTGGGTGTCACTTTTTTTTTTGGTGAATTATTGCTGCCCATTACCCTTTCCACCCACTACCCCTTTTATTTGGGTGAAGATGTATGGTCATGATTAGAAAAATGTCAAGTTGTCACAATAGAGTGATATTGCAGTGTGCAGAGTTTTAAATTGGAGCTTGACTGGTTCAAATTCAACAACAATTGCTCAGATCTTCCAGTTTCCGGATAATCTTCAAGGTGCTCTTGAAGATCTGCATCAAGACCAAGTGAAAAGTTCCAATGCGTTTACTACATGGAATGTTGAAACTCAGCTAGGCAAATTACCTGGTGCTTGATAATCCTCATCTCCTCCAACAAAGTCTCCAACTATGAATTAAATGTTTGAGGCTTCTGACTGGCTTAGTTGAACAGATAGCCAGGAAAGGTTGGACACATTAAAGCCTGCCCTAACTCCTGGCAAGCTTGTGACCTCCCAGTGATTCATATTTACCCCCTCCTTGACACCTGCTTATCTACAGCTTTAGCCCCCACCTACTTGGTACCTGTATGCATTTGCTCATGTGGCACTCCACTCCATTAACCACTGTCTCAGCATGTTTAAAATGTGCTTGAAACCTTTAAATCATTGAGTACAAAAAGTAGTGTTGAAGAAAGGGGACATGGCTTCAGCACCAATCCAGTCTATTGCTAGCTGTAAGGATTCCTTGCCTGGACTAGACTGCGTCAGCTGGAAAGTCTCTTGAACTGGAAGTTCATACTGAGAACTCCTCAAAAGGTAAGTGTGCATTTTTTTTAAATCTTGACTGGGGTCAGAAATAAAGTTTTTGATACTATCAGAAGATTTGGACCATTGCTTTTTAGTTGTATGCTTATTGTCATGAAAACTCGACCAGTGATAGATCAGTTTCCTCCAGTGCTTTAGATATCAAATGTACGTGTTTACATATCCGAACTTTCATGTAGGAAATGGTTTCTGAGTGACAACAAAGCCTTGAATTAGTATTGCTTGTTAAGCTTTGGAAGCACAGCTATCAGAAGGAGTGAAGATTCCAGCTGGATGGTGCTGTTTTGAATGAAGTTACAGGTTTAAGCAGAAGTT